ACAGTGCAATCTAGTATTGTACCCAATATGAACAGAGAAAGGGGATGAGACAGAGAGAGAACAAGGACCAATAAAAAAGCCGCATGCTGCAGTTCTTGAGCTAACTTTTGGGGTTAAGAAAAATAATGGCAGAAGTGCTGGGAAAACATGGAAGACAATGTCTGGTCACACACACATCCTGGCAAATGCCATGGATGAGGCGTGGCAATTGCAAAATAAAAACCCGTCTGGAAGCAAGCAAGGAAGACGAGCCTGTTCAGGCACCTGTTTATTTTATTTTATTTTATTTTATTTTATTTTATTTATTTATTAAAACATTTCTATGCTGCCCCATTCACCGAAGCCTCGGGGTGGCTCACAACATAAATTAACATACAAAAGATAACAATATAAAATAAGTCGCCCTGGCCAGATAAAATAAGCGAGTAATATTAACAATTAAAATATTGCTTAAATAAAAAGGTCTTCGCCTGTGTGGAACTGCCGTGTGTGGTATCCCCGCCTCCCCATAGGCATCCGTGCTTTTCCCCCGGTAGCCAGCTAAAGCAGTTTCAGTGTGCCCTGGTTAAACTCCCCCACAGTCAATCAGAGCTCCTCACTTTGCTATCAGGTGCAGACTGGGGTGACACCTCCCCTCTCCATGTGGGCCCAGATTACGCATTAACTGGCTGCTCTTGGGAATTGTAGCAGCGTGTCTTAAGCCACTCAGGTACTATACTCTGTTAACCTCAGAGAAGGATTTTGCCAGGTCTGTTTTACATACCTTTCAAAGAGGCCCTTTGAGGGATTAGTTTGTTAAATTCATCCTTCTTTTCTTCCCTGCAACCAGAGTCTTTTCTTGTGGGAAGGCAATTCACAGCTCCCTGGGTGTTTTTGCACTGAAGCTGCAGGTGTTATGTTTCTCAGCATCTTCCTGTCTGCCTCCATCTAGAAGGCATGAGTCTTCAGAAAGCCTTCTTGCTGGATTCGCTCCTTTCTTCTTGTTGCCTAGTCCAGGAAGCTGGTGGCAGGTGTCCATGGATGGAGCAGTAGGAGCAGGTTGATGGAGATCTTGGCGAGATTTGGTAGGAGCAGAGGCAAAGGCCCAGTCAGAAACAGGCAGGGGCTGGATCCTGACAAGGAAGGCATGGCAGAGCCAAGGCCCAGGTCCAGAGGGGAGCCCTGGTTGGATGCCAGCAAGACAAGGTTGCCTGGAGCAAGGCAGGGTCAGACCAGAAAAGAGTCAAGACCAAGACAAGCAGAACTTGGCCACCACAAAGGCCTGCCTTGCTTCGATGGAGCTTTCTGGCGCTCCCAGCCAATTGCATGGTTTAGATCGTGCAGGTAATAAATGCAGGGCCATAGAGAAGTACCTTCTGGTCCTAGCCTGGTCTTGCGGGCACTCATGGGGCGAACCATGGTGCTCGTCAGCTTCAGGACACCAGAGAGTGCTGTGCCAAGTCGGATCCTGACACCTGCGACTTATTCCAGATACCTCAAGCGTCTCTTTAGTTAAGAAACAGTGGCTAGTAACTCCTGAATGTCAGTCCAGATTAATACCTCGATATCAGATATGCAACATTCTCTGATAGTCCCTGTTGCTAAACCCTGATTTGAACTTTGTCCAATCCAACAAGTGAACAACAACACACATCCTGTATCTTGGCTAGTAATCATGTATGAACCAGGTTACTCCTTGAAGCATGAATTAACTGATCCACTGCTGATTTCTCCCTCCCTCCAGTCTTTTCTCTGGAAAAGAAACTTTTGCTATCTACTGGAACGATACCATGTTCTGAAAAGTTATTTTCAAAAATATCCTTCTTGTTAACAGTCATGACAAGCAGTGACAAAGTAATGGACTCTTTTGAGTCTTACATATAACAGTAATAAGGAAAATAAGAGTCTGGAGCAGAAATGACCTACTTAGTTCACTTCTAACTTCTTTAGCCTTACATCTTTTAGTCTCATCTAACTGAGACTCCTTTCAGAGGCTGCCTCTAAAAGAAGTTGGATTCAATTACCTGACAGAGCATTTCAGGCACCTAAAATTCTGTGTTTATGTGGCAAGAAACCAGTGGAATGAGTAGCTTTGGTAGTTTAAATAGCCAATGACATGCTGGGGAAGAGACTGATGGGGTCATTCAGACTTTACATCACCGGTTTACATCATTTCCCGGGCACCTGTGCTGTGCTTTAATTTGGAGATCATCGGCCTTTATCATGTTGAGTCTCCTTAAATCAAGGTGAAAAAGAAGTCAACACCTGCTCTGGCCATACTCTGTGCTTCTAATAGCTTAAAGCCCATTTTGTGGGGTGGACTTGGGAACTGCACTTTGGTGAACTTCTGAGGATCTTGTTGGAGAACTGCATTTCGTCTCACGGAACTATGATGCCGGGCTTTCTTGGGAATGGGGAATAATGGTTGAACCAAGCGAAGTCTGCATTCTGGACGTGCCCCAAGATGGGGCTGGGGAACCGACATTCCATGGGCCAGAAGCAGCCTGCCCGGCCCTTCAGTCCAGCTCACTGACCTGTCCTACGTGGCCCACTGGCCACCGCTGTGTCCCATGGCTCTGCTTTGCTGACTCCACCCAACTTACCTGGGGAGAACTGAGGTGCCACACACCTCCACTGCCCTTCTAAGTATCTCTGCACGCATTCAGCAGTGCTGGGTCTTCCCTTGATGAGACTTAGCTTGGGCCTTGCTCTTGAATCTACTCCACCCAGCTCCACCCAAGCCTTCTCATGGCTGGTGGACATAGACGACAGCAAAGCAGTGGGCTGAGAAGAGGAGGAGGCAGTGGGAGGGCATGAGAAGTGGAGTGCATAGCGGGTGGAGCAAAGAGAGGGATCCTGGGTGGAACTGGAGAGAGCTGGAGAGCAAAGACAGCGGAGAGCTGTGAAGGAATGGTTGAGAAGTGAGACTGGCTGGGAAGGAGAGCGAGAGAGGAAGGGTGTGAAAAAGCGTTGTGTGCTGGTGCGTGGATGAAGCCACGGATAAAAGCCTGGGCCTGAAGACTTCACTGTGCAAAGCATTTATTCTGTGTCCACGACCGCTCACCCGCAGAAGTTTGTGGGCCTTTTCGCAGGGTCACTGCTCCCCAGGGCAACAAAAGCCTCGTGAGAGTCGCGGATCCGCCATGCTTCGGCTGTTCCACAGCACCGCCTTGTGCTGGGTCAAAAGAATCTCTGCAGAGAAATGCAAACTTTGGGGTGGGGGGCATGGAAAGGATGTACTTTTCCTCCCGCAATGAAAATGGAAGAAGAAGCCTCAGGGAAGCAGTGGGCTGAGTTCCTTGTGTAGAGAGCTCCTCTGGGCATATGCATGCCGAAGGATGGGGTCTTAGGATTGCCAAGCATGGCTCAATATATCCCGAATCTCTGAACTGCACCTGCCTTGGCCCTTGGAGGGAAAGGCTTGACCTGGCTCCGGAGTCACAAATGTCTCTTCTGCTTTCATTCATGCTAACCATTGCATTAGGAACCTCCAAAGTTAGCAAAGCGGTGACATTCTGTGGAATATTTCAGCATGCTCTCCCAGCTTTCAGGGTCTCAAGCTTCCCCAACTGTGGAATTCATTCCCCCAAGAGCTTGCCCTCTCTTGGCCTTTTACAACACGTCTTTTCAATTTAACTTTTTGAGATGTGCAGTCCAAGGGTGGAAGCATTTCCAGTGGGTTTCCCTCCTTGCTTTCTTTTCGGTTGTTGCAAAGTGTCCGGTTGGCATTTTAGCAGATAAGAAATGCAAAGGAATATAGAATGGCGTGTCCGTGGTTGGGACAAGGAGACTCAAAACAATGGGATGCTGCTCCATACAAATAAACCCTTTCTTTTTGGAGAAGTGGGTGTTGAGCAGAATGGTTCTAGTTCTAGTGAATCTGGTTTTCTCTGCAAGGCAAGGCAATATGCCATTCACCCATAGGGGTCTGCACCTCACCTTTGGAACCTGTTGCCGTTGGGTCACTCTCCCACAGCTGTGCGTTTTGCCGCCGGGCCACTCTGCTCCGGTTCTCTGTTTGGGGGGAAGACGCATAGCAGTGCGCAAGTCGTCCATCAGGGAAGCTTGCCCTCCATTACCAGTCTTCTCATTCTGAGGAACCCACGGCTTCTTGCCTCATGTTCTGAGCAGGTAAAGGAAGTGCACTGAGTTGATCGGCAGTTGTCATCACCAGATACGTTGTGCACATGACATGCATAAAATTTCACATCTTCACAGGCACGGCCTATTCACGTTAGATGCATCCCTGGATCTTATTAACAGCAGTATCTGGCAGCTTTTCAGGGGTTAATGCAGGTATTGTTCCAGCAACTCCTTTGAAATGGGAAGACTCATTGCCTTTCTTGTCAAGGGCTGGAACAGAACGGCTGCGTGGATTTCTGGTCTTCTCTCGTCCTCCTCTCTTGCTGCACGGAGCACCCCTTCTCCTTGAATCACTGCCCAGTGGACCCCGCCACCCCACTGCCATGCTTTGGCATGAATCGATGCCCATGGACATTTCTTCCTGGGAAGTGGCCATGTGCATAGTTGGAAGTGCACATAATGACTCTCCGAAGATTTGTGGTAGCTGTTTTTGTTTCACATGCAAAATAACTTTGGGAAGCTGCAGTCTTGACGGTCAAGGGCAGGGATGCTGGCCGCCTTTTTCTCTTGGCCTCTTTCCCCTGACATTCACACTGGAGCTGTATAAGCTCCAGATGTATGTTTAAAAGAGTAATTAAGATCTGGGAGCCCCATGGAGTGGGAGAGCAGCTTGAGGAAGACGGATTTAGAAACCCAACGTTGCAGGCGGGGAGCAAGTTAAATGCCACGATTAGTCCATCTGCTCCTTTGCTCAAAATCACACCCTCCCAAGTCAACTTTTTATTAAAGAAAATGAAGAAAACCACACATCGTGGCTGCATGACACACGTTTCCATGTTAAGTGGTGCTCATCTGTGCCCATTAGCCCCGCAGAAGGACTTTTCCTAAAACACACACCACATGTTTTCTTATGTTTTTCTATTTCTCTCCTTTTCCAGAATTAAATGTAAAGGAATCGGACATGAGATTATGCGATGAATCATCGTGTAAATATGGGGGTGTTTGTAAGGAAGAAGGCGATAGCTTGAAATGTGCATGCCAATTTCAGGTAAGGAACTTTCACATTCGTTATCTGATATAATCCCTAATACCGAGGAAATGTAAGAGAATGTGCCCATCTACGTTTCTGACACACATAAGCATTTATATGAACAGGTGTAATATGCCCTTTAGAAAATGAAAGGGGAGACAGAGAAATTGCCATATCTTTTCAGCCCTGGGAAGCTGGCTTTGTAAGTCGCAGGCATGCTTGTCTGTCGGAGCTCTGGGCCAGTTCTTATGTCTCAATACCCCTTGTTCAGATATGGTTTCGGTCCTCCTTTCTCCCTCTTCTTTTTTAACCCAAGCAGATCTGTGTCCATTTGTTTATATGCCATTTATCTGGCCCACTGCCTCCAAAGCACTTTAAAAATACTCGCAAAATTCAGGGGGCAGGGGTTAGGTTTGGGCCACCTGGTTTCCCATAATAAGCTGGAAGCCTGCAGACCCATGACTTCGGAGTTCTTTCTTCTGCAGTGACGTTCCTCTGAAATGTTCTATCACACCAGAGAGGCTGACGAGCAAGAGTTCCTTTTGGTACAGTATTTGTGAACATACTTTGGCTACCGGGTAACACACGGACATAATTAATTGCTTAAATTGATCCATCCTAGAGAGGAAAAAGAAATTGAGACTTAATTTATCCTTGGATGACCAGGTTGTTCAGAAATGCACTGGGGGTTTAATTGGAGCAACGCCTTCCCATAAAGTGTTCCCATTCTGTTCACATGTGCTTAACACGCATCCCTTCCTGATGGGTCTGGGAATTCGGAAGCAGCGCCTGCTGAGTCCTTTTGTTGCAGCCAAGTGGCTCTCTGGGAGGAAACTGGGAGCCCCAAAACTGAACTCGGTCTGCACCTTAGCTGCCCTAGCTCAGCACCTGTTCACAGGGGATTGTGTGGATGATTCTGTTCTCTTTTTCCCTTTTCTTCTTCTTCTTAACAAATAAAATCTCCCCACAGTGTCACACGAATTATATTCCTGTTTGTGGCTCAAACGGAGACACTTACCAAAACGAATGCTTCCTCAGGAGAGCCGCCTGCAAGCATCAGAAAGAGATAACCGTCGTGGCTCGGGGATCTTGCTACTCAGGTAGGTAAAGGGCAGCTCACGAGGCACCTTTTCTTGCTACTTCCGTTTCTTTCCACGGATTGGAGGCTCTTTGGCGTATCGACATGTATACAATCACCCTTATCACTCCTGGGAAAGGCAGGTTTAAGGTAGAAATAGTTGTGTGGGCAGTGTACCTCTACTTTTCTATGCAGGTTGTACTTTTCTATGTGGGTCACCACGAACTGCTCGAACGTAGGTGGAGCTGGCATTTCAAGCAGAAATGTGCAAGGAAGAAGTTCTTCCGACTGCCCATTTTCCTGCTTCAATCTCTCCCTTCCTGTTTCTCTCCTAAATCGGCCTCTTATCTGGCTGGGAGGAAAGTAGTTGCGTAGCTTTCTAACAGAGAAGCACCATGTTCTTGGTTCTCCAGCCTGCCGGTCCTTTTCTTTGTAATGGAGCCAGTTTGTCTGGCATGTCAGAATTTTAATTGTTGTGAACTGTCCAGAGGTCATTGGCTATTCAGAAGTATTATTATTATTATTATTATTATTATTATTATTATTATTATTAT